TAATATAATACTTTTTAAAAGAGTCTTTTAAACCCAAAGGCTTAGTCTAGGCCTACAAAATCTAAGTACTGGTGCTACAGTGAAGCTAACAAATTTTGTTAATTAGTACTGCCCAGGATTGGTACTAATAACAATCAAATAACTTCTTGATTCATAATAAGTTACATGATATTTTATTTAGATACAATTTTGGTGAAAGTAATAATTTATCACATTACCGGTATTAATAAAAATGATACTGTAAATAGTTATGAAATCACTCGATCGATCCTAAGGCCCCGTCCTAGCTGGGCGGCAAGATTGACGGGTACAAACACATGATAAGTAATGGGAGTGTCCTAGCTGAGCAGCGAGAGTGACGTTGTGCCCGTTGGTTACGCTACAAGCGTGTCAAGATACAAATGCAGTATGTTTGTATTTGGTAGCGCTACCCCGGCGACGCAACGGATTGCCATCCACCACAGCTGCCTCAGTTCATGGCGCGTCGCCCTGTCTCGCCGCATATTTTGCCACCTACAGCAGAGACAGTCAGTAACTTTTGCTGCCCAGCTATGACTGGGCGTAAGCTAGTCGGTCATAGGTGAACTCAAACCGTACTCAAATGTAAGTAAAGTGGTGCTCTTTTCTGCAGAAGAACCTGGTCAAGAACCAGACACGTCACAGCCAGTGTTGGAGACTGAAGAGTTGTGCTGCATTTTCCGAAGCAAGTTGAGCGGCAACAGTTTAGTGTACGCTGCGGAGATGGACGGCGTGTGCAGTGATGAGCCTGTGGACGCAGCAGGGCTCAGGAGCATGAAGGCACCGTTTATAGAACTCAAGACCAGTCGTCACATTGAGACTCAGCGTCAGGACACAAGCTTCAAGCGGTATGATTTACCTAGATTTTAAGAGCTGAAGTAAACTCGTAAATAAAACCTGCCATCAATGTTAAATTAGAATATATTCAAACAAGGATAGTTTACTACTTAAAATAAAACTACATACATTTTTGTTGGGACATTTGAATATTGACTATGGAAGAAATTACATTAACCCATTGACACTAACTTTTTATGGTTTCTATATTAATGTAGGTTATGTGGATTTCACATGTCTAAATAACAACTAAATTAATATGTCAATGTTTAAATGAAATAATATTCCTATTCTCCAACTCTATGCTAGTGTTAAAAGAAGCAAAATTGATTTGGGCAAGCTTCAGTAAACTCACTTCACTTTGTAATCCTAAAAAAGTCAGTAAATTTTTCATGGTTAGTAACATACCCAGCTGTTCTTGATAGTTGGGTTTTAAATAAATAATCACAGATAAATCAAACAGCTGATCTTATTCAGTAACAAAGGTACAGATCATCTCATTACATTTTACACTCACCTTGCCTTCATATTCAGCTTAAATTTTTCACTCAGACGCTCGTCGCTTTTTATGTAACCATAATGATGATAAAATCAACTTCCACCTAAACCAGACACCTTTAATCTAAGTGGCTCAGCAACTAGCTAAGTTGTGCACATACCTTGGACTAATGGGAATCGAAACCGCCAATGTAGAACAACATCAGAGGTATAAGTCAGTGCAACTATAGTTCGGCCGCTTAGAAAGCGACCTCCTCCAGCATTGGTTTAGCATTAGCGCGCAGGTCGTTTTCTAAGCGGCCGAACTATAGTTGGTTATTTAGTCTCCAGTTACTGTTGGTTGGATGGTAGAGTTCTGCTTATGTCTGAATGCAACACTAGCGTTTGTGTTATGTGAGATCTATTGAATTAAACCTCAGCTACTTATTAGCTTGTTTACACTGTAAAATGCCTAGACTAGACATACTTGTTACATCAAACTATTTCATAAGTTGTCTGCACTATATTCTGAATAAAATGTTAGCTTTTAAGCAATATAACATGTCTTATGTAATGTCCTCGTGGGTATGAATGAGTTAGAATAAGGACATAACCCCCTCCTGGCTCAAGATGAAAGTTTGGGAAATTAAATGAAGTTGTACAATTAATAGTTATTTGTGCAACTAGTGAGAAAAGTGAGCAATTGACTCACTCGAGAGAAATCCTTACTCACGAGCCGTAGGCGAGTGAGGAATGGTTTCTCGAGTGAGGCAATTGTACTTTGAACTCGAGTTGCACATTATACTTTTCCTACAGTTACCATAAAACAAATAAATTGGTGAAGAAACATAACCTATTTTTGCACAGAAGTGAACTTTTAATTAGGGATGGACGAGATTGGATTTTTAGTTCGAGACGAGACGAGACGAGATTTTTTATTTCTCATAAAATTTTGAGACGAGATCGAGACGGGATTTCCCTTCTCATACACAACGGGAAATGCAAGTTCAACATTTTTACCTGATTTTGTAACATTGTTAGATGACTGTTTAAATACAAAAATAATGATAATAGGCAAGAATATTTACAATCTTTTATTAAAAAACATCAGCATAACATTTTTTTTTTATCACGCCTAACTTATTAAAAATGCCTACGATTAGGAAACATAGTGATATCAGTTAGGATAGAGTTCAACTTATCCTAAAATAAAATAAATCATAAAATAAAATATTAATTTTGATAAAATAGTTACTTGTTTTGCCTTTTTTTTATAGTAATAAAACATTCCTCACACTGCTAACACTTAACAAAACTTCTCAAATGTTATTAAATAATTAAAGTAATATTTACATTTGAAGAATTAATTAAATAAGAACGCCTTCGCAAAGGAAACGCAACTACAACACGCTCCTGTATTGCGGGTATTGCATTGACTTTCTGCAGGCGTTTTTAATTTTTTTTTTCTCGTCTTGATAAAAATCTCGGCCAAAAAGAAATCTCGTCTCGTGTAACGAGATTTAAAATTTCCCGAAATTTCGAGACTTGACCATCCCTACTTTTAATACCTATAACATTCAATGTGAAGTGACAAATACAACAGTAGACCAGCTGATTTACAGCCAGTGCTGCCAACGTATTTCGCGCGCATACGACGTTGAATGCATGTTACGCCCTCACTATTTCGTGCCTTCACGTTGCAAATCTGGAGTGAGACAAAGTAATTAGAGTGAGACAATGTTAACATTGTCTCACTGATGAGCGAATTGGTCACTTTGCTTTCTCAAATTAGTGAGAGAACATGTGCATTGTTAGGTAACTGTAGGAAAATATTTTAATCATAATCAGTTTATTTCAAGAGTATAAATTATCCTTGTTTAACCAAAGGTTTTATCTTTTTTAACACCCGTTTGTTTCGACTAACAGATACAAGTTGCTGAAATGGTGGTGTCAAAGTTTCCTCGTTGGCATTGAGACGATTTACTGCGGTTTCCGAGATGACGATGGCATCGTTTCTACTGTGAAAGAGTACAAAGTGAGGGAGATACCTAAAATGGCCAAGGTTAGTGATTTTTACTTAACTCCCTTTAGGCCTCAGGTACGATGTGTTTTTAAGCATAGTCTATAAGTTACAGCTATCAAACGTTGTTTTAAATTTTATTGTTTGAAGTGATTTTGAACTTCATTTTTATCTTGCAGGGTTTCTGGGACCCTTGTGTCTGTATGAACTTCTGCGCCCAGTTCTTGGACTTTGTGAAGCGATGTATAAACGAAAGTTCAAGACCGAATGCATTGTGGAAATTTGAATGGAATCCTGGCAGTTCTATCACGGGCAAGGAAATCAACGGGCAATCTGAGTTTTCATTTGTGCCTGATTGGTATTTGAAATCAGAGTCATAAAACAGTTAGCATGTAAAGTAAACATTACAAATGATTTAAGAACAATTCACCACAAAGGCTGTGTTCATATCAAGAGCTTGAAGCATCAGAGTATTTTATTTTTTGTTAAGTTTTTGTCAATAAAGACAGTTTTATTTTAAGTAAGTTTTAAGGTTAGGTTGAACATTTGAACAATGTTGTTCCAAAGGAACAAAAAAACTTAATATAAACTGAGACATAATTTTAATAACAAATTTGTTTGGATCAGTTCCTATTTTTCTCTTTGATTCAATGTACGTTATTCATCAGAGATGAATTAGAAAAACATGATTTAGCTTAAATACCCAAGTGTATTCAGTTAAGAAAACACTAAAATACGAAAATTAAGTAACAGCGTGTAGTCTTCATAGACTTTAACCAATAGCAAATATAGCCTACTATTTATATTATGAATGTAAATTAGATGGTTGAGAAAATGTTGGAACTTTACTGCTATAAAATTAGTTATGTACAAATAATTGCTCTAGGAAATATTTTTCACTTCACTTTGGCCCAGATATTTAATATCACAGTATTTAAAAATCAACGTTTCTTTACAGTTCAACTATTCCACAGTATATCTTTGTGCCACTTCAGTAATTTCCAACTTCGAGTAAAACTGGTATAAAGGGTAACCTTATTTAAATTTTAGCACTATATATAAAAAAACATTATCGGATCACAACTTAGTACAAACAGATTTTGTTTTTGTTAATATTTGAAAAGGAGACCATGTATATTTATTTTTAACCATTTGATGTAAGATTGCTTTTAAAAGTGTAGGCTGTAAGCATGATAGACATACATTGCATTGTTTTATAACAATGACCAGTTTTCTGTATTCTTTTGCGGTGCAGGGCTAACCATATTTGTATGGTATGTAATGGTTGAACTAAAAAATTAATAAATTATTTTTATAAAAAACATGATTGTTTTTTTTTACTAGTTGCATTATCTTGCTTCACAACAGAACAAAGACACAGGAGAGGATAATGTTGTTCTTTAAATCTATTTTAGAAAATATAAGTTAAATACATCTACCACTGATCTCCAAAACAACTGAACTGTAAGTTACCGCTTAAACGGCACAATTGAAGAACCATCTTTCCACATTTATACCTTATTTTTTACTAACTTTAGTTCTTTTTCTTTAGTTATATTTTACAAACAAAGCTTTGTAGTAGTTCCCTTTAATAAAAAAATAAACTTATTATTTTATGGAAAGATTGAAGTTTTAATAATAAATCACATTGAACAATAGTGTATTTATTAAAAAATCTGTACAAATGTACAAACATGGTGTTGTACTATTTTTACTTATAAATACAGTTTATAACACTACTTTACCAAATACAATAACACACAGTCAATTCAAGTTTTAAAATTCTAGCAACTCGACTATTATTTAATCGTACAAAATATTTTCTGTAGACTCGACAAAATGTAGAAAAAGCAAAGTAAAAATGCAATTACTCTTACATTCCGTAATAACTTAGGTAATAAATAATTAAATGCCAAATATTTTATCACAATTTTATAAATTAGTTATTGAAGACGAACAAAAATGTATCTTGATGTTATCAATAGTTTTAAAATTAGGCCTAGTTATACAAGTATAAAATAAACACAAAGAACAAAGTACTATTAAATAACCTAAATGTAAAGTACACTTAACAAAGAACATCGGGAAATTGTTGCATGGTAGGAACTTGCTTAAGGATTTAGAAAAAAGACTTGATTTAAATCAAAAACGTAAGGATAGCTTTTTATCAACCATACAGTAAACTAGTAAACACAATAATTGTTGTTATTTGCGTTGTTTAAGCCTTAGTATTTAAGGAACATGTTAAATAATAAAACTTAATACATCTCTTTAGGTACAAAGTAACAATTAATGTAACTTATCTTAAACCAAAACTTATATTCAATGTTGCCTTGCCATGGCACATTAAACACAGCTTAAATTGGCTTGCAGGTTTAAACTGTGTCCGAACATTGCGTAATTATTGCAGCAACAATTCTATTTTCTCACTTATTCCTTTGTTATTCTGGTTCTTTTCCGTTAATTCACTACCACTACTTTTATATTGCAATTCTAAAATTTTTAACAGTTAGCCTAGTCTATGAATATATCAATTATAAAATGAAACTATTCTAAACTAACCTAACCAACCAAACTTGCAGATTATGAAAAAATTATGATAGTGAATAAACGGAATAGCAATAAAAAAGTAGTAGTAGTAAAATAACGGAAAATGAACGATGTTCTTACTTTATTCCAGAGGCGGCTGGTTAATGAAACCTCTACTCACCCATTCACAATATAGCAACAAAATGCACATTTTAAGTGTTCAACTAAATACGACAGCCTATTTTTTTAGTGCTTCCAAAATTTAGGATCATTTCCACAATGGAGAATTAGCAGATGCTAGGACGTTAAGCTAATAGGCAGGGGTTTAGATCTTAACCACAAAGTTTTGACGCTCAACTAAAAATACACCGATCACAACGCTGCCTTTAAGATTTAATGCTGCAATTTTAGACAGTACGATAATGTTAAAGAGTAGGTCCATGTGTGAAATGAAACATTATGAACTGATGTGTTCGTGTTGACTATCAGTAAAAAGCAATTTGATTGGGTTTTTGTTTTAACAAACATAAAAAAAAAATAAAATGTGTCAATTAGATGCTTTTGTGATTGTCTTATCATTGCTTATAACAAGTAACATGTCCAACCGGTCTAGATTATTGATTCTTTTTAGAGCATTCGAATAGGGGTTTTTAACTGACCAGCCGCCACTAGTTTGTTCTAAGACAATTTTTTAAATTCAAATCTCAAATTCAATCTGCATACCTACTTTAGCTGTATAACTATTGGTGGCAAGGCATAGGGTGTTAAACACTTTGTTTGAATTGAAACTCAAACAATACAAACACAAGCTTTACTTGGGCTAAATAAATGCACAAATCTCCAGTGAATACTGTACTGTGACAGGTCTACATGGAAAGGCACACGCATATAGGCATTGGACTGACAAGCCCTATCAATGTCACATTAGCACTGGATCCATGATACTTATCCTACATAAACACAACTGTGGATGATTTATTACTAGTAGAGTTCTCAACCGTGAATATTGTGCCAATAACTCCTTCACAATATCTAGTGTAAAAACGCTATACCAAGGTTTTGTTTTCTAAATTTTATATTTAAGTTTGCTTTGTCTTTGTAGCCTACTTCTTCAAAATTTACTGTCAAAATTGCACGATAAACAGTTTGAATCGACTAGTAAGGGCATAAGTAAATTGTTATCAAACATCAGCTTGTGTTTCAATTTTTGAGATAATTTTAAAATTTATCCGGATGGAATGTGAAACCTTGACAAGCACTCGTTACTCGTCCTCTTCCAAACTTCATGGATACCTAAATACTTACAATATGGACAAGTTTTATCACAGAATGTTAGTCGGAGTCGTCTGACTGAGAGTGTTTTCTCTTGAGAGACTCTCGTCGTGTGTTCTCACTGCATCTTGCCACCCTCTCAATGTATTTGTTCATCTTGAACCTCAGGCGACTGATGGACCACGGACCAGAGTAGATACAAAGTACTCTCACGTTGTCAGAGTATTCCAAGTTGGGCAAAATCTGAAACGGAGAGAATTAAAATACTGCAATAAACATATATGTTTATTACTTGACATCCCAAACAAATAGCACTTAAATTGCTGTGTATTTATTTTTTATACCCTTATCAAAACAGTTTCTACAAAAACATAAAAACCTAAGAGCTAGCTACATTTGCAACAAATGCACACCATTGAAAACACATAATAAATGACCATTTTTGCCGAGCTCTAGCTTTAACATGATGGTTAACACTATCATTTTATCCTCCAACTGGTATTCTTATATTCAAAATTGCCGCGGATAAAAAGTATGGGAATCTGAATTGGACAATATAATAAAAACACAGAGGGATTTTTATTCAAAAATATAAACAAGATGGTTGGGATTTTTGCTGAACAAGATAAACAAAAGGGCATGATTTACTTAGGGATGTGCAATACAGCATTTTTTTTTTGTCCAATGCGATTCATTTCTATGCAGCACCAGCATGATTTTGATTTTCTTTCAAAATTTATTTAAAACTTAACTTGCGTTACCGTAATGGATGATTTACCAAAAATCTAACCTGATGCTGATGGACACCGCTGATTTTATGGTTGGCCAAAGAAAATCTAGACTTAACTAACAATTCGAATAAGCCTATACCAAAGCAATTTGTACTATTATTGACCTATATAAAAAAAATGTGTTTCCTGGGTTAACTTAAACCGTTGCATAACCCTCCGAGTGTTAAGCGTCGCGTAATCGACGCACAACACACCCGCCGCGTCGCTTTTGCGACACACAAACATCGTTTACGGCGAAGGCTCTGGGACTGATTGAATCCAGATTGAACTGGATCGAGATTGGTATCATTGTTTTCAGTAGATTCTAAGCTTTCTCCTGATGTCTGTTTCTAGATGCTTTTCATTTTAGTTCCCAAAATATTATAGCAGACAGATGACGTGCGTATTTGTAAACAACTTGGTTAACCTCGCACCGATGACTGATGCGTTATTACGTTTATCATTGTTTTAGTGTTAAAAATAAAAAGTAGTGATATATGTGGTGCATTATAAGAAGATTTAAGTGATTTTGAAGGGCTGGTTGATGATCCTGAAGAAGTAGGTAGTGATATTGATGTAAATTATCCGCCAGATTCCTAGATATGGTTAGGCTATGCATTCTTAGCTAACGCTAAATGTACGAAATCTGTTTTTCACCCATAACTTATTTATTTGCAAACCTACTTCCTTATATGATTATATTTTTGGAATCCTCATAAGATTTAGAACAAAGTGGCTATTTTCAGATATTTGTAGACCTAAAATTATAAAAATTTATTGAGTGCAAACATAAAATTTTTTCATTTAGGCCTATTTTGTAATTTTTGAGAAATGTTAACCCCACATTGAAGCCCATAATTTTCCAAACAAAATTATATATAAAACAGTATTCTTTAGAGTGTTTTTAAGTTTTTAAGATACATTTTAATAAAACCCTGCGATTGCGCAATAAATGGGCCGACATTAATACCATTACTATGGACACGGAGGGATAAAATAATACAGGGCTAAATATAAGTACATTTCTGTAATACGTAATGTAAAATACTTTAGTAACTTCAGTTGTTTCTGTGTAAAGTATTCCGTCTTCAACCCATTGTAACATTTTTGAAGCTGAAATAAAACACTGAATTATATATAGACATTATTTTAAGTTCGTTTTACCATAGACTAAGCAACACAAGTAGACTCCTCATCCCATTGTAAATTTTGAAGCTTGTTTTTCATGTCCAGTTCATGTACGTCCACACTGATCGCTGGGGTAGACAACATTTTGCTTATATTATTTTAGGGTTATTTTAATGATTTGTGCTTTACTATTTGGTTATATAACTAGGGGACCAGTTATTCTTTATTATTAAATCGTTTTATATGATTAAATGAGGTTTTAAATGACTGAAATAACAAGAAACAAATTGTAAACAAAACATAACCTCTACAGTTGGACGTACATTACAAACAATAAAATTGGCTTCAGCTGTTCCATAAGGATGACAAATCTACTAAGGGAGTATGATTTATCTATGGTTTTACCTACAAACTGTGGTAATACATAGGCTATTTTTAGCGTATGACAGGTTAACCGCAAAATTGGTTACCGGAAACGGCTTTTCCCCCTTTATTTTTGTTAACAGGGGTTCTAATGTATATTGAAGCATCCTGAATCAAATCGTGATCAACATCGAATCAAATTGAAATTTAAATGCATTGCACACCACTAAAATTACTACTGAACAGTGAACCCAATAATAAAAATACTGGTATGGTATTTAATGTTATACAATTATTATAAAAATACATTTTACTTTGTAGTTTTAATATCCTCTAACCTTGGGTGTGAGCAGGAAGCATTGAGCAGAGTTAGCTTTCTCAACAGTGTTCACCATCAGCTTGAACACCACTCTCTCATTGTGCTCATCCATACCCTGAAAACAGAACATTGCATTTAACAACATTTACAAGACAAGAGGTAAAATTACAATGAATATTGTATACTCAATAATTCAATTAAGTTTAATGTTTTCTTACTTTTTATTCATTCTGTTGGCATGCAAATTGAAAATATGTAGGCCTAACTGTTGTGTTTTATCGAAGGCCTATTTGTTGTGCCTTATCTTAGGCTTACCTGTTTTATTTTATTGTAGGCCTACCTATTGTGTTTTATCGAAGGCCTACCTGTTGTATTTTATTGTAGGCCTACCTATTGTGTTTTATCGTAGGCCTACCTGTTAGTTGTGTTTTATTGTAGGCCTACTTTTTGTTTTATCGTATGCTTACATATTGTATTTGATCATTATTACCTGATTGATCTCGTCCACACATCTGAAAGGCACGGTGGTGAGTTCCTGCAGAGACAACATATAGATGGCAGTGGCCACCGCCTTCTCTCCCCCGCTCTGAGTGTGCGGACCGAGCTTCTGCAGACGACTGGACTCTCGGAACTGAACCTGTATGCTGATCCCGTACTTGCTGTATTCGTCCTACAGGCAAAACTTGATCAGTAGGCTCAATAATATAAAATATTTCCACTCTGTGATGTATTTTTGGGAGTCAGCAACTAGATTTCAATGTAGCTACGACAAAGTTTCTTTCGAACGAGACGTCTATAACTGAATTGCAATCCCAGTTGAACTTAGCAATCTGAAGGTGTAGACAGCAGAGAAAAAATACTTTAACTGTCTCGATTATACCATTAACTATTGGTTGACTGAAGTAAACATCCCATCTATAAGGACCAGCTGTCCCCGATTTTTTACTAAAAAAGTATGTATTAGTGTGAGCCAATTACAGAATGTGCTACTGAAGGAACTGTAGAGTCTAAAATTATTGTTTCTACATTATTATTTGTCGCTGAGAGTTGATTGGTCATAAGAGTTGCTAGAGCTCACAATAAGTCGTTTCATCAGTTTGACTTGGTAGAAACATCTTGTGTATTTGACATAAATTAGTAATTTAGATCACACAATCTGTTATTAACGTATTTAATTTTAATAACTGATGACAACTTTAACATGGGGATGGAATGTGGGGATGTATCAGTAGTCAAAGTTTATACTAAGTTTACACATTAGGATATATCAACTAAATTTACTACATCAACTTAGAAGCCCCCCGTCTCACCTGGTTCTCCGGAACCTCCAGCGAGACCTCTCCCACGCAGTTGATCAGACAGAAGAAAGAGCTGAAGTTTGCGTTGATCCTCTCCAACAGGTGTTGCACCTGAGGTATCCACTGGTTCCGGTTGTTCTCCATGCGTTCTTTTATAGTCTCTAACTGCTTCTCTGGGTTAGCCACCTGACGTTCTAGATCTTCTATGGTTTTCTTTGTCTTATCGTACTCTTCCAAAACCTAGGAAAAAGAACATTGCAGGAAGCTGCAAGTGATTTGGCAACTCAAAATTTTATTACAACACTGTGAATAAAGGGAAGGGAATAGGTAATATACAGTGGAATGTTGATTATCTGATCTTTGGTTGTTCCTTATCTGCAGATGATTGAGTGAGAAGAAATCACATCTGTTGAATGTTATGCCTGGACATCATGGTGAATCTTTCCCCACAAAAACCTTTAAACTTCATTTCTGTACTTATACATGTGTTACTGTTCCATTCCTCTAACCCTTTATGTCTTGGTGGTTGAGTTGACAAATATAGCTTTGTTTTATTTATTACAATTGCAGTAGTGGTGTTTATAATTTATTTTTGTTTTTTATCATTTGTGATAACGACTCAAAAAAAGTGGTTTTAATGGATATCAAAGTGCATCTCGATCACAAGGATAACCTTAAATTCTGTTGTTTTCAAGTAGGAAGACAAGCACAAATAAATTTCATATCAATTTCCTAAAACAATAGAAGTCTTAACTTACCGACTCTCTTCCCCCTCCCATACACCTCACTCGGGCCGTCGCCTCAGATATCTCCCTCTCCAGGCCATTCAGGTCATCCGGGAGATCAGCAAACTCCCTCCGGAGAGCCGCGTCTGTTGGAGTCTTCCCCCCGGACATCTCTTGTGCTTTGGCCTTTGCTCTCTCCCAAGTTCGCGATACTTCTCTCAGCTCGTGCTCGACGTTTTCCAGCATCCTCTGAAAAATGTTTGTTCAAGTGACGTTTAGAAGTTGAATTACTAAAAAGTACAGGGATAGTACAAAGAAGTGTTTTTTTAACCCATCATTGGTAAACTATATATTTATTGGACCTAATGTAAAATAAATACATTTCAGAACATCGATAGCCTAAAAAATTCTTATCCAACTGGGGATTTAATGCCAACAATTCTTTAATAACTAAAAGAGTCTCTTCACTTCAATAAGTACCTTGAAAGGGCTTAACTGTATTTAAACAGTTCCTGAATGCCTGTTCCATTTTTCTCCAACTCCCAGGTTTACTACATCCTAACACCTACACAATATAATTAACGTTTCCTGAACTGATAAAAACAGTTTTCATGAGGTAAAAGAAATTTTAGTTTCACTTGTTTATTGAAATCTATTCAAATAGGTACAATCATAAACATGATTTAGGAACAGAGGAGAGAGTTTTTGCAATGTACAATTACCAATACCGGTACAAGAATTTGAACTGTTCATATTACACGGAAAGTTTTTTAAAACTAAGGTTAAATAAACCAAAGTACTTGACATATAAATGTTTATAAGGGTTTATTAAAATTAAGGTATTTTGATTTTGTTTTGAGCATAAATTATAGCAAATACAAGTCAATCACAACTTACATTAGCGTTATCCACTTTACTTCGAGCCTCTGCAGCATCTCTCTTTTTCGCGTCGAGAATCCTTTGGTAGTGAGACTTTTTTTGAACATTTGTTAGTTTTTTCGAGAAGCAGCTCTGTGTGTTTTTTAAATACTTGATGATTTTTCTTGGCTCTGAAGTCAACGCGATGACAAATTTCTGAAAGTAAAAAAATTTTTCTAAAAAAGAACAAAGCAATTTCCCAGGCCTATAGCTACCAATATTAAATAAATACTGATACGTTTTATATAGCTGGATAGAATTATTCACTATTAGTAAATCTACCGACTCACATTAGCTTCAGCTTTTGCTTTGGATATTTCTTCTTCAGGATCAATTTCCACTTGCTGAATGACTTTTTGCAGCTCACTCTTTCTCATACCCAATCTGGTTCTTCCGACCTTCAATTTCTGCAACTCTTGGTCCAAATCTCGCTTCTTTTGTCGCAAGTCGTTTGTTACTCGTTCAATACTACTTATGTTTGCCATCAGTGCGTCTTTATTTTTCATAAGCCCCTCAAGTTTTTGATGTTCTTTTTGGATACTGAAACAAAGACAGTGTTTCTAAAAGAGACTATTTTACAGAAGACATATATTTCACACAAAAAAGTTGAACAACTTAATAATTGGCTAATGGAAGTGATTGGAAAAATTACCACCTAAATATTCAAGACTAAGACGACTATCTTTTCCTTTGTATGATTTCTTAGTTTATTGGGCTTGGTCCTGGCTAATGAAACAGATGGTCTTAGTCAGGAACAAATATCATAAGGAATCTCACTTCATTCTATACTCTGTTATTCATATTCAACTTCAAGGTGGAAAGAACAGCTGGAATGTCTGGGGAAAGAGTAACATTGGTATATCAGCATAGTGTTGGTGGAGCAGAGCTATCGAATCATCAGATTACTGTCCACAGCTGTAAGTAACAACTAACAAGTGTGCAATAATTGATAAACTCGACATTGACACTTTTAGTAAGATACAATGTAATGTAGGTATATATTTTGCTACTGGCCTAACTATTTGATTGCCTACCTTCTCCTGTATTCAGCAATAGCGGCAGTGTTGGTAGAGCCAGACAATAGAAAACTGTCTCTGACGTTCACGATGCGTGAAGACCTTTCTCCTGAGTACTTGGAATATCTCACCAAGTAATGCTGTGAATCTGCAAACAAGGCAAGTTACTGTTAATAATGACATAAATATCTCATCTGTAGTTAAATTCTCCAGGATAAACATTGTGTTTCGCTGTATTGCAGTTGTTACTCTTCTTTCAAACCAGACAAAAAAATCTACAATCATACGTACTAATCACACATATTTGGCAGAGTTTGTAAGTAAAACTATTAAAAAAAAGTCAATTGTTCCAAATTAAACTTTAATTAGTTGCAAACATTGAGAACCATTTGATAACTTGACATATTCAACGCACCTGAGAAGTAAGATCGAATCTGTCGAGGTATTTTGTCAGCCATCAGTTCAGTTTTTTTGTTCCCAAGGGGAATCTGATGCAAAGCGAAGTTTGCACAGAGATAGTTGAGGATCGCATTAGGACCTTCCATCTTGTTGATGATGTAATCCGAGAAGCCAAACTCTCTGTAAAAATACACTGACTTCAGATTCTGATGTGGATAAACAATTTAAATTGTACTGCTCACTGCAGTAGTTAGGCTGGACAAGTACAGGTTGTATTTGTAAAGAGCAGCCTTCATTGCTCACCTTTAGTCATCTTTATTTGCCTAACCTCAGCTCAATATTCCTGAACAGTTGGACTCGCAACAATCCGATATTTGGTAGGCTGACACACTCAGTAATCCAAATTTATTTAGTTAGGAAACAAAAGGGATCAATTTATGTAAAATCGTAATCTTACTTGATGCTCCTCAGGTCCAGAGGAGGCCTGTAGTTCTCACTGGCCGGGCTGTTGTAGTTTCTAGTTACCACAGCTGCGTTGATGCTAAGTCTCATACCATCTCTGACTGTCTTGAGCAACTGATTCATATCATTCTTGTCTTCGCACACAAACATAACCATTTCTCTGTGGGGTATGGAGAACTCTACAAACTTGGCCGCGTCTTGTTCGCAGTTAATCTAACGGCAGACAATTGTGACAAATGAGTTAGGTTGTAAGAAAAAACACATATGAAGTAATATTAGATTATTAGGTTACTTATATTGGAAGTATTGAAAATAAGTAAATACCCCCTTGGTACGCTCATGACTCTTCTGGTGCTCATCTGATCTTTTGGTTGTAGTGAAAAATACTTAATTTTTGGGTTTAGATACGAACACATTTTAAATTTTTTGTCTTTTCCCAGTGGGTTGGGAAACGCTGATCCAAGGTCCTTAGAATCAATGATAAACACTAAAGTGAGCAGAGTTCAAGGTAACAAATACACACCTCTAACATGATTGGTCCGTAGATGTGTTTCCTGAACTTGTCTCGGTTGTCCTCTAGCCACTGGTAGGCTTGATATGTGGCCGGGAATCTCTGCTTCAGGACTTCTAGCTTTTTATTGGCCGCCGACTCTTCTCTCTGCAGCGCTCCCTCTATTCCTGAATTGACATAGTTTTTGTTGTTTATGTTGCCAGTTAGAACATAAAAAAGTATAGAGGAAACAAAACAAGGTAATAATGTAATTTTAATTATGATTTACTGAGGTTTCCATTAAATCACCTTTTTACCCCACCATGTTAAACCAAAACATAGGTTAACCTGAACCATGGTTCAGCTAACCAAATAAAAAAAAATCATGATAAAGATTAAAATCAATTATAAAATTAGCTGAATCAATAACTGTCGGTCAATGCATGGGCATTTACCCTGGGTTTGTAAAAGGAATATAGTAGAGCAGTCGACAGCATGGATTTCCTACCAACATAAAAGATCAAGATCAGGAATCAATTATCAATTATTTCTCTAGATTTAGGGAATCCACTGACAGGAAATTTCCAATACTTACATCAACTCTTTGTTTTATACTTTGATATTACTAGATCACTGTTGTTTTACTTACTATTTTTTGTCCTAGTGACTTCACTTATGTTTTGTTCAACTTCTCGAGCCTGCCTCTGCGCTCTCAGCAGCTCCTCACTCTTAGTGGCCAACTGTGGCTGCATGCCTGACACTTGCTGCTGTAGCCTCGACTCTGAAACATCGTAAACACACCATTAGATCCAACAATGATCTGAGTGAATACCGGCTAAAGTAATGTGCCGACAGTGAAAAGGAATTCCCACCATTTCCACAAAAAAGTGCAATTGGTAAACGTTTTTTGACTGCATCTAACATAGTCAATATTCTTTTGCCGAACCCGAACAAAGATGCTGTTAGTGAGACAAGAAGTATCATGAGCAATTCATAAAACATCTTCCTAATGTCAGCAACATTCAAAGACAACTAGCAGACAATTGCAAACAACACAAGCATTTACTGCAATCTAATAAAGGAACGATGGACAAATAAAATTTTAGATCAAAAATTCTTTTCCACTATTGATAAACATTTAATTAAACACATAATTTGTGTTTTTCCAAGGATTTGTTCACTATAATGGACACTCCAAATGAATATGACCACACACATACTTAACTTACCATCTTAAGTATATAATTGCCTTTTTGAAGATAACAGTTCAAGTGTAAACAAATGTTTTAGGCAGTGCTCGATTTGTAAAATATGAAGTGCCGGAACTGTTACCTATTTATGGCAATATGTTTATTGTTTATCATTTTTAAAGAGAGGTACCAGAATTCCTTTTCTCCGTGATTACATTTTGACATTTCGACTACAATTTGAGCACTGGTTTTAGGTGTTGTTAGACTTTTTTTTTATTTTCAGTCCATAAATAAATGTAATAAGGGAGTGCAAAGATTTGTAAGATTTGAATTTCAATAAAAAATTACAATGAAGAGTATTAACAAAATGGACTTATATAATTGAGAAAAGCTATCTCTAGAGAGTTTAAGTTCTCAGCCAAATTGAGAAGATTGTCATTGAGAAGGGTGCAGTGAATCAACTAAAATTTGCAAACGCACAAAAGAGCATCAGTTAAATTTTCTTCACTTTGATTTGTAAAGAAGTACTGTAGTTGTTAATCATTACACATACTAGTAAATGATTAACCAAGACTATGCTGACATGCTGACAATATAAAACAAAAAATGAAGTGCGAACAATTCACACCTTTCTCAGGCTGAATAACAGTCTCCAAGTTTCTTATCTCCTCCTCCAAGCTGCTGATTTTCTCGCTCCGTTTCTTTGCTGCTTCTAGTTTATCTTTCAATTGGTTCTCAATACTTCTCATCTTGTCTTCACCTTCCTCTATCACACCCAGAATGTTTCTGCCGGCTGCCATTCCGTCTCCACTCAGTTTGATCTAGAAAGAAGAGAATGTTTACTATTTGAATTTACAGCCAATTTGAGTACTTGGTTTTTTCGTCCCAACTTCAACCCGAGTGTCGGGTCCAGAGCCAGCTTATACATCACTTCTGTCTAGCTCTAGAGGGTTGCAATCATCACAGAAGCTAAAAGTTAATGATTGGTGGGATTTAAACCCGTGACCTCGGGGACTTAAGACCCACTAAACCAGCTGTCGCAACCTAAGACTGACCTACAGTTAATCAATAGTTTCATTATCTTCATCATCTTACTCATTTTCTGATACTTTATTGTACAGTAAAACCCTAATAAACTGAAGTAAAAGGGACAAAGCAGTTGCGGATAACCTTATCAATATAATTTATGCCTTTTCAAAAGTTAGCCTACTGTAACAAATTCAAACCTAAATGAAATTGTTTCCCAAATGAGCAAATAACCATAAGAATGAACTTTTAACAAACCTAATGAAGCAAAATCCGAACACAATTTTTTTTGTAATGTTTATGTTAACGTTAACACGCAACAACAGATTTATAATAATTGCTTTCACCGTGTCCATTATTTGCAAACCCTTTACTCATAAATAATTGATATTTCAAACACTAAACAACACGTTTTACGTTAGGTTAAATCCAAGGGTTGAACGATTGTTAACTCGCAACAACAGGTTTATAGGTTAAGATAAGTTGTTGTATCCATGGTAAAATGGAATGACGAATAAACACTACAACAGATGACAGTAGTCGTAGTATCTAAGTGTTGCCAACTTGTTTTTAAGCATACACGTATTACGTGCTTAGTACAATCACACTTTTTTGTATTGTTTGGTTGAAATCCTGGAGTGCAAGAAAGTATAAATTGAGTGTGGGAAAGTATGAATCAGCTCCTTTGCAAGCTATAATTATTGCAAGCAAGGCCACTTTGCCAGATAACTGTAGGAAAAGTATTTTATATTTTACTTATCTTACCTCTTTTTGAATCTCTCTTTCGACTGTTTTTATGTTGTCTTTGACTCTTTCAATTTCTCGTTCAAATGGCGCCAAGCTTTCTTCCGCTTCTTTCTTGATACCTAAAATCTTCTTCCTGTCTTCTTGTACCTGAAAAAGCCCACATCTGATCATTAAGTGAATTCACACAACCAAGTGTAAATCTAGCCAAGATAATGTAGAATGTCTAAGCCTTTTAGGCGACTTATGACTTGTCAACAAAAGCAAGCCATTTGTGTCAATGATAAATATTTTAAACCTAAATAGGTGTTAATACCATAGAACAGTTACCGTAGAATACACTCACCCTTTTCTTGGATTCTTCTTTTTCACTCACATCCAACCAAGCTTTCTTCTTCTCTAAAATCGCAACCTTTTTCATCATTTCTTGTCGTTCCATAATTGCTTTCACTTCATTTTCCAACCTGAGAATAAAGCAGCACTTAAGTATACAGCAACAACACAACATTTTTAACAAAAACTTAGTGAATCAATTAATTGCAATAACTCAGGTACTTGATTAAATTATTTGTATGTCATTATAATATTTGTGTACACCAAAAAGCAGCGGATGCCTCAAGAAGACATGATTGAAGCAAAGTATGGCATAAAGTAAAATTCGCTAAAAAAGTTGTACAAAAACAACATAAGAACATTGTGATGTTTATAAAATTTTCAAGTGAGATGAAAATAAAAGGACCAGGTTGTTTTAAAATGCAAACAACATTGAATGCGTAGCAATAAGGTTGAAATCTTATTGTTACGCTATTACTATTTGGCTTGAGATTTGTTCACACAAAAATTTAGATGGACAAAGAAGGATGCACATTTCATTCAACCAAATGGGGTAATTAGACACATTGAAACTTACCTACTAATCTTTTTCTTCTCAGATTCAAGATTTTGTCTCAGTAACTTGGTTTTCGAGGCCAAGTTAGTTTCTTGGTTCCTCAAGTCTTTCAAATTGTCATGCAGGTCAACGATTTCTTTGGAACCTAAAAATATTTTTTATCAGTAAAACAGTAATTTCTACACAGCGATTGTTATTACAGGTGAAATTTCTACATCAATAGGATTAAGGATGCATCATAGAGCAAAAGGGCCAAGGGGTAAAAGATGAGTTTTACAAAGTATTGTGAAAGTTGTTTTTATTACTGCGCTAATTTAAAAACAAGTACGACAAGGGTAGGGACCCCCGAAGTTGCCCTTGGTTCCAGTGGGCAGAGAAGTAACGATGAAAACACCTCAAGGCACATGCGCAGCGGAAAAAATTCGCAGGAAGGTTTTAATAATCGCCCGAATCCATATATTCAGGCAGAAGGACTACTGTGTGCGTTCCCACGTTTGACAACATTTTGAGCAAATTTTAGTCCGTCTGTCTGCATGAGTCTGTCTGTCTCTGTGTGGGCCATTAGCCTGGACGTTTCTTCAGATTACAGACAAGGGTGACAAAAAGGGTTTTCTTGACATAACCAACTACATTGTGCAAATAACACAACACCAATACAGTCTAATTTTAAGGCATTCATGATGAAATGGAAGGTCTGTCAGATAACAGAATATCGTATGATCAAAACTGTGTAGTAACTTAGGTATTATTCAACAAGTTTCAATAAAAAAATAAGCTCAATAATAAACCACATATTCTTACCAACAGTTTTCAGTGTATTTTCCAACAACTGTTTTGAATCCATCTTGGAAAAGTCTTGAACCCTGTCTTGAGGTAGGAACTGGCAAAGATTGTCTACTTGTATGTTCATTTGTTTTATAATTTTTTCCACCTACAAAACCCATGAATTACTTATTAACTAGTAATTATCATTAACAGGGTGTTTCCAAATTGTTTGGACACATTTTGAGTACTTGTTCCTTGGGCTGAGACAAACATAAAATGCCATATAGGCTAAGAATGGGTCTTAAATGCTTAGATTTCTGTTTGTCAGAAGGTAAAAAGAACTTACAAAGTTCCGTTCCAATATCTCAGCCATTTCAATATGGCGGCCATTTAAAATCTTAAATGCCAAATTTAATAAAAAACTTTAATATTACAAAAATTATTTTATATGCAAAAATTACACAAAAGGTAAAATGTTTGTCATCCCAAATATATTAACAATCAATTGGCTAATCACTTACCTCTTTAAATGGGACTACTTGGCCATTGATAAACCAAGTAGTTTTATTGTCAATGTTAAACTCTCTTCCAATGACGTAGTTTGAAGGTTCACTGTAAAGTTCTATTTCGATCTTTGCTTTTTGACATCCTCTCCTCACGTACGCGGATAGCTACATGGAAATTTAAACAAGGTTTAATTTGTATCATTGTTAGCCAAACTCTTAAACCAATCAGGCCAACTATGTAATTGATAGCCTTGTTAGAGATTGAACCAACAACTTACTTAAAATATAAAGTGAGTAGGCGAACTTGAACCAGTTGATGCTTACATAAGTTTTACGGCCTACATTTTTTATTGCCACTTAAAATAAAATTAAAATTTTCCTTTTCAAAAATCTTGTATTTTTAGTGGTCACAAACTGTTCAACCCAGTACAAACGAAGAATTTGTTACAGAATGCTAAAATGTATTTAAAAATATTCATCACTAACAACTTATGTTTAGGGATAAACTTAAAAGGACATTTTTATCGCTTTATAAATTTTTATATGTAGCCTACATATAAGGTTGAGACAAATAGATGAATGAATGAATTCTTTATTTCAGTACAAAGTAGGCCTATTAAATGATGCAAAAACAAAGTATGAAATAAAATCCCAAAATGGGCTAATGCCTGTGGTACGGAATCAAAAGATTGCTAAATGACATGCGCAGGATTGATACGCCATAAAATTCTATTTAGGCCTACATATAATTATTTGAATACATCTTATTTGCAGCCAGGCTTTTAATCTTTATGCTATACTACGCTCTTTCTACTGTTAAGTAACCTGATCGTTAGAGTGTTATCTGGAGCTAGCATGGGGCCCAACTTAAAAACTCCAAAGTAAAAATAAATGCAAGCTTTTTTGCTGCTTGTGGTCTAACTTATTGCCAAATAAAATCAGAAATATACGTCAAGCATTGCTAAAATGTGGTAGGCCTTGGCCTATGAGTTAGCATTAACTTGCCATTTACTACCTACAAATTATTATTAAATAAATTATTTAAACTCACCAAGTGAATGTGTAGGCCTAAAGTTACACTCGGTATTCTATGGTTTCACCATAAAAAGACACCAAAGACTGACATAGGCCTTATCATTAATTCTCAGTCCACTCACCTGTTTTGCTCTGCCAATGATACTCGTTTTCCCTCCGAGTCCGAGGACAATTGCATTGACCAAGGAGGACTTCCCTGTACCATTAGGCCCAACAATCATATTCAGTTTTGCACAAGGATAACATTCTACACCGGTTTCATTGTATGTCCTAAAACAAAAAAATAAAATGATGCATTATTACTTATTAGATAGTTTTCTTAGGATAATTAAGTTTCTGTAGGCAGTGGTAAGTACTGTAGCCTACATTGAGCGCCTCACCCCCCCCCCCCCCCCACAGAACCAGTACATGTGAGCCCCCTTCCCTCCAACCAAAACTTTACCACTTACGTTTTATTTATTTACCTCAGCAAAATCTGTGATTCCAGAAAAATCCAAAATAAATCTCGTTGACGTGTTTTGATTGCCTCCCTTAGTCATGGAAACATCGTCACCGTGTTCCGCGGTGGGGCCAAATCTTGAATATCTCCTGGGTTTATGTAGACATGATCATAGTCTCCCGTTTTCATTGGAAACTAAGTTTATTCATCGTTTTCCATGACGTGGCAGTATCTTGTACATCATCTGGGGTCTTGAAAACATCATCATTGTCTCTCACGCACGGGTCATGAAAATGACGTAATCTTTTTCTCCGACTACGTCAAATTAATCATGAATATATTCTTCAGTTTTGAAGACACAATCTTCGTCACCCGCGGTCACGGAAACAACGTAATCTTTTTAAACGATTGCGTCAAAATCATTACGGTATGCCTAATATCTCATTTGGTCTTGAAGACATCACGTTCGTCTTCCGAAGTCATGGAGCACCTCAGTGTCCCTGGACCTCGGCCCCGTTCCCGCACGTGGGTGTTATTTACACCACTGACTGTAGTCCTAACTTAAATACTAAGTAAATAGGTAGCCTACCTAGGTAAATTAATATCCTAGAGTTAATTTTAAGGGTTGTGGAGAATAATCAACGGTTATCGAGCTACGAAATCTGAAAGTGTTTCCAGTTCCTTTGAGACTTAACTTAGGTAATGTAATTTTCACTCTCATTCACAAATTCAATGAAGAAAAAGGTAGGCCTACTTTGGTAGCCTATTATAAGAAGGCTGCCCTTGTAGGCCTATAGTGTGCTGCGGTTATTCCCTGCAGCGTGTTCAGGTTATCATAGATATGTTTGTAGGACTTTCCTCGTTTTGTTATAAAATGAACGATACCAGTGAGTCATAATTTTGCCCTCCAAATCCCCTCTAAGTAGGCCAAAGTCAGGTTGTTGACCGGAGCGTGCGAGACAGAAATCAAAGGCCGCTAATCGTAATAATGTCAAATTTGGACTGTAAGACAATCAAAGTACGCCTATGTTATTTCCAATTATATAGTTATTTTTGGTCTCCGGTAAAAAATATCCATCTAAAATAAGTGGCCTCCGTGTAATACCAAGAAAGTAGAGAAGTAGCAAGAAAAAATATTGTTTTGGTTGAAAGGCCTAGGCCCCACTCAACCAATAAGTTATCTTTATTTAGTAGGCTAGGCCTTGGTAGGGCCTAGCCTATTCTTTCTACTTATTTAGTAAAACCCTCCACCCTCCTTGAAATTTAAATTTTATGTGGTTGTCAATTTAAATTCATCTTAAGTGATGGCTCTGAGGAGTGGGATTTTTTGACAGGGATTTTCAAAACTCATCCTTTTTCCGGGTATTTCTCCTATTATGTTATCAATCAATCAATCAATTATTATCAATTATTTAAGATGGGGACGCCACTATGTGCGTATTTTAACCCAAATATGAGTGAAGGATGAGTGTAGGATGAGTGGCGCGATCTTGTAGTCTTGTTAGTGACTAAGGTCGACATGTTCCTTAGACACAGCTGTTAATTAATAGCCCATACAGCTAATGGCAACTAAGGGACCTACAGTTTATAGTGGAATCCGAACCACATTTTTTCCTTGTAATTTACGAATTGGTCTAATTATCAGGATAGTACTGCGGATAGTCGTAGTACTCACTAGTGCGGACGTTAATCCACACCAGGGAGCATCGTATCCACAGTGCATCCCTATAAATATCCACAATTTGTGACCTCCTAGTAGCTGGATTACAGGACGACGCCACCCGTCCCAGTCTAAAGTTGGTAAGTTAAAGGCAGTACAAACCCATGTATACCCCCTAGTTTTGGGACGAGGAATTCAATGGAACCATCACCGCCTCCCTACGACCACCATGTTTCTATTTACAAGGGGGATGGGGGAAATGTTCCTGGAAACGGGGGGGGGGGGGGGTCGTAGGGGGGTAGCGATGGTTCCATCGGATTCCTCGCCCCAAAAATAGAGGTATAAGTAGGCCTACATGGGTTTGTACTGCCTTACACCTAGAAAATAGAATACATTTCGGATAAGAGAAAAATCCCTGTCAAAAAGTCCCACTCACCAGAGCCAAACACCTTCCTAGCCATAAATTAACAAGAACTCTACTCTACAGTTGGTTCTCCTCGGTCCTGTGAGTTTGTGATGTGAGGCGCTAGCTAAGTGGTTAAGCCTAGCATTATAGGCTACATAAATAAATTTGGTATCCTATCTAGGTTATGTAAGCTAGGCCTAGGCTAACTTATTAGTAGGCCTAAATGTCAGATACGAAATACAAATAAACACAAAGGCTATCACTATTATTCTTATATTATGCTTAACATCTAAATTATAATCAAAATAACATAATTGCTAGGGTTTCGCATGCAATTAAGTTATGGTGCATTCATAGCCCTAGGACTAGGGTTGCAAAACCAATGTTTCTCTATGCAGTACTTACAGAAAATCTTTGCAAAATATCCTAACAATCATTCCTTCGGTAAACTCTTCCATGTTTAAATTAATTACTTGTCGAAATAGAGCAAAATTTTTTATTACAATAGGCCTAGACAAAGGATTGATAATATTAAGTAACTCCCGCCATAACAAATTGCTCAGAGCAGAGCTATTTTTTTTTCTGTTCACGCACGACAAGACTACGCTCCCGCGCGATGCCACCTGATCCATCCCATAGAGTTTTATGCTACCATGGAGGTATATCTTAAATTAACAGGTATTAAATACAACATTTATGTAGGGTCATATTAAGTCAATGGTTTTTATTTTAAATCTTGTACATGTCTTTTAATTAATTTTACCATAGATAAAAACCATAGATCTACCATCTACAATCTACCATATATGATAAAACCATAGTATGATAAAACATACTCTCTTTGTAGATTTCCTATCCTTATGGAACAGTTGAGCCAATTTTACTGTTAGTTCTGTCCGGTGTACTGTAGTGTCGTGTTTTGTTTACAATTAGTTTCTTGCTATTTTAGTAATTTAAAACCTCATTTAACCAAATAAAACTATCTAATCATAAACAAAAACTTGTCCACTAGCTATACAACCTTGATAACGTAAATGTAGAATCTTATATTTTAGAAATACAAAGAGGTGTTAATTACTCGCGATTTGTTATTTATCAGTTAAAAAAATCAATGAAATATTTCGATTAAAACTGGACAGTAAATGTGAGAGAAAACAAAATACTTTGCTTGGGTGACAAAAAACATCAATTGCTTCGGGGCGGAATATTGCAAGATAAATAATGAACTGAGCTTTATTGGTTTACAATATTACAACGTTTTTTATCTGGAGAACTCGTTAAATTTGAGCCTCGGGAAAGTACGGAACGGTTATCAAATTTGAACACATTAAAAAAAGAAAATACCTACCAAATAATAAAAATACCAAATAATAAATTATTATAATATAGTTGTAAATGTAATCCTGACAAGAAAAAAGTAAAAATAAATGTATTGTTCAGCTACTAAATTATTTCATTGTTTTTCATACAAACTTTGCATTTACGACACTTTACAATGCCAATGATTGAGGTTACACTAAACCATCTATAGATTTCCAATTAACATGACATTTTTATTTAGTTAGATTTAAACATATTTGAAGACATTTCCAATTGTTATCGATAAACGTTACCGACATAGACACGTGGGTAATGGTAATGTATGTTAACGTAGTTACCGTTACAAATTATCGATACACAATATCGATACACAATATCGATACACATTACCGGTACACATTATCGATACACATTCTCGAAACACATTATTGTTACACATTATCGATACACATTATCGATACACATTATCGATACACAATACCTATTCACGTTGACAAATACGTTCCCGCACAAGTCACAATAATTTCAATAGTTTAATAATGGAATGCAAAACTGTCAAATGTTTGTGATAAAAACCGTGTTGTATTCTCTTACTATATTCTAGATTATCTTCTCTAAACAAAGGAAAATCTTTAGACAATACGCGACAATACGCGACAATACGCTCATGGGCGAAGCTCTATTCTTCGCCAAATTACTCGATTTTAAAACAAAAGAAAAAGAATTAATAATTTCCCTTGTCGCAATTGTCGCAGCCTCTCCCCAGACTTCATTATATTTTCTTCGCTTGAAACATAAAATCCCTTTGTAGACAGTCCCAATTAACCGTAATAGTGGATCTGCATCGGTTTTACAACATAACGGTGTAACAAAGAAAATACAGTTTTCTTTGTTCATTTTCAATCAGAATTAGCGTACTCAGGGGTCCCTTTGTTAAAACATCCCACTGTGGGACAATTAGTAAATACAGCAGTATAACTAATCATCAAGTTATATGTTTTACCCCAATGGCGTTAAAAGCAATTTTTTTTAATGCGTATGTTGAGTATCTTACAAAATGTCAGGGACACTATAGACTGTATAATTGACAGTGCCGAATTACAGACAAAATATCCGGGGGTACTTGTGGCCCCCGCCCCTTCACAAACATACCCAGCGGCGAAATCGTCAACATCTCCAACATGGAATTTGAAATACTGTACATAACAAATAAATTGGAGATTTTTCGCCCGGAGGGACCTCCAACAATATATTATTACCTTTTCTGAATTACGTTACGAGCTAAACAGTTTCGCAACATTTTTTCGCTATATTTCAGGAGTAAACAATACTCTGCAATAACGACCAAATAACTCAATAATACTATTATTATTTCGATTGAAAATAAAGAAACAATATAAATAAACAAGCAGTGTCCTACGCGGCATTTTTAGAGCGCCTTCAGTATAAGACTGCAATACGCACATTGTTGGGTTAAGCAGAAATAGCGAGAGTATTGAAGGCGCAAACGAAATGCTTGAAATCTGCTTTTAGCGAATTTCTCTATAGGGAAGGCTATTAACGTAGGTGGCACGGTAAGACCTAAGCCCGGGACCTATTTACTTTTTCATTTTTATGTCCCCAGAGGCCTAAACACAATTCGTTCAAATTGTTATATATGTATATACAGACAATGTATGTCTTGGCGGGACAAACTTGTGTTCATTTACAGTCAAAACATAGCTTGATGAAATTAAATATTTTCAATGTGACAACAGCACATTCTTTTGAATCAAAATGTTGTAGGCCTATATTTTGAACTTGTAGATAGTTTTATTTTATGTTTAATTAATTAATGTCTACAACCACATGCATTCATGCCCCTCGATAGTTATTACAGTATCAAGAAATATTTCATACGATAGTTCGGCTGCTTAGAAAACGACCTGCGCGCTAATGCTAAACCAATGCTGGAGGAGGTCGCTTTCTAAGCGGCCGAACTGTATTTAAATAATTTTCATGAACTATAAACACTAGTTTGAAAGTGAATTTTAATGTGTAATGTATGATTAAAGAAAATGTAAGTGGTTTATTGTAATTTATTCAAATTGAATAATTTTTCAATACCAAAAATATACAGTAGTCACAAAAAGTTGAATATCAGCTTTGGAAAATACTGAAACAAAACCAATCAATTGAATGTTTGATAAACAATAATTCCGAACGGCCTTTGACAAGTAATTTAATTATTATTAGACTAACAGACATCCCATTTAACTTTGACAATTTAATATTCCATGTTTAATGAACAAAACAAAATCATAAACTACTGACGAATCAAATATTGATGTTTTTCGTTTTGCAATCATGACACTTCTCATACATGTTATATATTACTGTACTAGTAACCTCTTTCTCATTTGGGTTAAAATATTGTAAAATAACATTATCAATGCTGCCTAAGGATATGAGAGCGCACGTCAGTGTTAGAGTTTATTTGATTAATTATGAAAAACACATTCAATTGTTATAAAAGTTAAACTATGGATGGACATTAGTAGAATAAAAGATATAATTCTTCGACCTAACTCAAATTTGCCCCTAATTCCAAAAGAACATTTTGTCATGTTAGGTCAAAGGGTAACCAACAAAGTGATGTTCACTTTGAGACTTAACAAACCATACATTATGTCTGCTACTGTGATCAGTGTGGAGATAGGTAAATGTAATATATTTATATGGAAAACTAATCCCATTCTGGCATTAGTAGCAAATCATATAAAAATATTACGTATAAACTATCAGATTGGTATAATAGTTTTCCTTTTTTTCTCTTGAAATTTGTACTTTCACTATTCCTTAACATAATATGTGAACATGAGAAAACACAAAAACTCTTATTTTAGTAGGTCATGGTGAAATTGGTTTCATTTGCTTTTAATTTTTCACCATCGAAAATTTTCATATTTTTTTGACGAGGGAAGGTTCAAAATAGGCCTTGCTACTACCTTTGACTATCAATAGAATCTATACACAATCTTTTTAACCAAGTCAATTAAGGGAATGACTTATGATGAGGTATAGCAACTGTTATGACCCATCAACCTGGTCAGCAACAAAATATAGGGTATAAAATAGAATTTTAGACACTAGAGCATTCTGTGACTGGCTCACACAACTACATTAAAAAAAAAAATGGCTACAGCTGGTCCATATAGATGGGAAGTCTACTTCAGTATCCAATAGTCAATGCTACTATCTTACAGCTGAATGGGGAGCGAGCTCGTCTAGTGGTAGACCTCGGTGCTTCGTAGCCCGAGGTCCCGGGTTCAGATCCAGCCAATCATCAATGGTAACTATGGGATAATTCTGCAACCAAAACTAACCTGAAGCAATTTGTTAAACAGTTCCGTACTAGAACCTAGCGTCCTAGAATGTGAAGGTGGGATAAAAAAAACTTACAGTGATCTATTATCAATCAGTCATAGTTCAACTGTCACGGTGGATATTATATTCTGAATTACGGAGCCTGTTCACCTTCCATCTACTTGGTTACTGATAAATGGTTTAACACCCAGGCCAATTACAAGTAGACGTAAGTAGAGCGAGACAGGTCCCATCATACAGAGTATAGTCAATTGATAACCCAATGAAAAATGTCTTCCTAGTTTAGACTCGATTCCACAAGGGTTTGAATGGTCAGTTTTGAAGCTGAGCACCATAACAACTCGGCTACAATTGATGTGAGCACAAACATAACTTTAAATACTAATCTGAGTCGGTACTGTAAATAAATCGTCGATAAATAAATGTATAGAATTCTAGAGTATTATTATAATTTTAAGAAAATCAAATACAGACAAACTAATTGTAATTCCAAACACACGAAACGCCGATTAAAGCACAGTATTTTAATCGATTTACTTAATAATTGACCTAGGTAAAGTAGAGTAATCAATATACAAAGAACCAATACAGTATGGTAATCAATCGGCAGGTCCAGAACGTCAATCATATCGACAGTTGGATACCAAACTTCGTCACAATCCGATTTCATATTCATATCAATCCTATGCCGGGGGAACCTCAGTGGATCATATATTTAAATTGTGGCACCAAGCGTACGAATAAAGTTCTAATAAAACCCATTAAAGAAATGTTGAGTTGTTTCTTAAATGAGAAAATGTGAAATGGTTATTTTACGATTTGGTGTAT